AGACTTTAATTGTTATAAAAGAGTATCAAATTTTAAAATTCGGCGATTGCTTGATGTTTTTAATGTGGTTAATTACTGAACGACCTATTTTATTTTGTTGCAACCATTTGGTCAAATCTTCAGTCTTTAAACTTCAACAACTGATCACATAGATTTTAATTTTAATTTTTTCAAACCCTCGTGTTTATTACATTTAAGTACATATAGCTTCGATATAACCTCTATGTGATGACATTCCCTACAATTAGATTTTTCTACTGAATGGTTGTTTCGATGTAGACCAGAAAGAATTTTTAATTTATGTCAATTTTAACTAACTCAACTCTATATGCAGGACCGGATTTAAATTTATGCTGCCCGAGGGTTCTGACAAAAATTAGCCTTATCACTGAAATTTTTCTGCCCCATCATGATTAATTGCAGTTTGTTTTCAAAAAAACATGATTTTTTTTGAAATATTTATGGAAATAAATTTATTAAATTAACTGGATATTTAATTTTTTCTTTTAAAAAAATTACCGCCCTAGGCACTAGCTCCGACTGCCCTTACTATAAATCCACCACTGTATATATAAAAAATAATATGTACCTACAAATATTTAAGTTTCCACTATTAAATCCCATGCTCACTATTCTTAGCATTTAAAAGCTATTACATCAAGTATCTTACATCATAAATTTTTATTACGTTTGACATTATCAAGTTTATATCTGAAGACAATTAGTCGATTAATCATTATTGCCGAGTAATCAGTAATCTTCTGATGGAAACCGCCCATGAATCCTATCCTATCGCTCGTCTTTGATCTATTTTCAGAATAGGTGTGTTTCAAGTAATCAAATACAATATGGAATTAATCGTGCACATAAATCAAGGCGATAAGCCTGAGATGAAAATTTGATGTAATTTATAATCATTTCGAAACTAGGAACGCCGAGAGTGAAATTAAGTAAAATATTGATATAATATAGGGTAGAGCGGGGCTTGAAGGGACGCGGGTAAAAAAGTGTACTACCCAGATCTTAGAAGCAAATAAAGTTAGGAATGTTTTAACAATATTTTAAAGTAGAGGGCAAAAGATTTTTAACCAGCCGGCGACTTCGCGACCACCAGATAAACGGCCACATTTTCAATTTTGTAACGTAAGTATTTTTTTTTTCGTTTTTGAGCACGGTTGTTTAGTTTACGATACCTGAATATAATTTTTAAGTATATTTTCTTTTTGGAATTGGATTCTACGGTTTTATTGCTATAACCTCTATAATAGCTTAAGCTAGTATATTATTATAGAGGACTTGTAATTACAAGTGGTTGAGGTAAAAATAACCATCTAGTACTTATTTATACTGGCAATGTGTGAACAATAAGATACTGATAATTAAAAATGTAAAATAAGCTAAAAAACAATTATAACAAAAGTTAATTTAACTTAATAGTTATTTCAGCTTTGGTAATGAATTCTTTTGAAAAAGATCCATGTTTATAAAAAATGGGCTTATAAATTATGTATTTCAAACAAAAGTTGAATTCACTTTATTTGCATTAATTGTATTTCAATATGCATAAGTTTATAGACTTAAGTTTTACAAAAATACCTACCAATGCAAGATTTATAATAGTAGTATAATTTTTTTAATTTTCATATATATAATTGCACCTATTACATAATAAAATATCAGCAAATTTTTTGATAGTTCGATAGTAGTAAGAGTTGATAAGTCTTTTTATTTCTTATGTTAAAAAATACATATTTAAATTATGGCTTTTAACTTTGTTATCCAACCTAATAATTAAACAGCTTCGCGTTGATTAAATAATGTAATATTATTTTATGAAGCCTCTTTTAAATTAAAATGAAATAGTAATTTTTTTTGCGCCGTGCCTGTCCCTTTTTACCTCGTCTATGGAGTAAAAAGAACCAGGTGACTAATTTTCGAAAAGAGTTTTACAAATAAAACATAGTTGTATAATGACGATTAGCTGGGAATTTCACTGAACGTAGTTACATAGTTGTTTATTCGATATGTGTCAATTGTTTTGATGTGTTTTTTTATTTTTTTTAATGTTTTTTATTTTTAAGTTGTAAAGGTTAAGGCATTTAATAAATTTATGGAATTCATTATTGTCGGCCGTAAAGGGACATTGTATACTAAAGGGGCATGTTGGAAAAACAACTCAATATTTGTTTTTCCAGTCGATATAATATTCACAATATTTTATTGATAATCATATAATTTTAACTATTTACTTATAAAATAATTTCTTATAAATAATGACTTCTTATAAATAAATGACTAAGTCATTTCAATTTTTATCAGGAGAGTTGATGACTTAAATCCAGTGGCGCTTTTCTTTTCAACCTTCTTGGATAGTTCTCTGTTATCAAGGAGTTTGCTGATGAATTTGGGTGACTGATAAGCTCGTTTCTATATTTATGTGCTGTTTTTGTTATTACATCATTTATGGTAGGTGTATTCGTGTCGACATGAATCAACCAGTTGGGAACATATTTTGATGCTCCGAAGGCAATTTTCAAAAATTTGTTCTGAAATTTCCGTGTTATTTCTATATTAGTCTTATGAGCACTGCCCCGCAATTGTATTCCATAGCACCAAATTGGTTTGAATAAAATTTACATAAAAGTCGCTTATTGTATGAGCTTAGTTTGGATTTGCTAATAACCAGTAAAGCTTTTTGATTTTTATCTCAAGCTGTTGCCTCTTTTTTATATGGGTCTGCCAGTTAAGTTTTCTGTCGACTTATATATTTCACATGGTCATCTTGAGGTACTCGAATGACTCCTATTACCACTGGTGGGCAGATCTCTCTTCTAAACGTAAATGTAACATGTACTGATTTTAAACCATTCATTTCAAATCTCCAGGTTTTGTTCCATTTTTCTAATAGATTTAAATGGTTTTGGAGTAACTCAGATGCAGAACTGGAATCTATGTGGCTAGCTAGATGTAGATAGTTAGATTTCCATAATAAATTGCTCAAAGTTAAATTGGACCTTTGTAGGAATAGATTATGCACGCTAATAGCAGATTTTTTACTGGAGTGTGTATAGATATCTGTCCCAAATTGTGATGTACTTTTAAGCTGTCTAAATATTATGCACCGAGAAGACAAATAAATAATATTATGGGCTTAGCGGTGTCGTAATCATTACTCTGCAAAAATATTTATTGTTCTTATTGTTTCAGTAAATTTTTTCATTAAAAACAATTTGGAGTGCAGCAAAGAAAACAGATATAAATTATTATCTGTGAAGGATTAATATCTTTATGTTCAAATATTTATTTATATTGGTTAGCGTACCAAGTACAAGATACTTATTCACTGAGATAACTGTTAAATTTATTTTTTAAGCCAATAAAAAATAAATAAAAAAAACTGTTAAATTTAAAATTTTTGAAATTCAATTTTAAATTATTACAGAAATACTCAAAGAAAACAGGCGAATAAAAAGAATGTAAATCCATCAGATTCCGAAATGACTTGATAAAAGATATCTTGAACTGGGTTTGGAATCATTCGTGATATACCTCTCTGCAGAGTAAATTATACCAAAATCAAATATTGAGACATAATATTTATGTACATAATATAATTAGCAAAAAATTGATAACATTATCAAGTTATCTAACTTATTCGACTATATCCTGTTCTCATAATGCAGCATTATAATAAGAACTTGCTTTTAATTTAGATCAATAGTAATAGTTATGTGACTCTAATAAATCTCAATGTTCAACAGGTCCTGCCTTCTTGATTTGTCTCGTTTCCGAACTTCTGCCCACGGACATGCGGAGTTTGGGGGCCTCAACCGCGTTGTTATGGTCAGGAAGCTGGAGGAGAGGACATTCAAAGCGAAAAATGGACAGGTGAGGTTAAAATATATATTTATTTATATATATATATACTAGGGTGGTCTTTAACATGGACATTTTTGTATTTTCTTGCTCCCAAGGGCTCAAATGGTTCCAAATTGATAAAAAAACAATTCTCTCAAAGATTTAGCTTTTAATATTAACTTTTAGATAGAGCGCAATTTAAAGTATGGAAATAGCATGAAAAAATTTTCAAAAATTTTGCAGAGCATCGAATTTTCAATAAAAAAATGGCACGAATTTTCACTTTTAATTCATTTGTCGCTAAGTTATACATAAATTTTTTTTTTAATTTTCAAAAAATTTTTCATGCTATTTCCATACGAAGTTTGATTGAATTGCGCACTATCTAAAAGTTAATGTTAAGAGCTTGAACTTTCAGAGAATTGTTTTTTATCAATTTGGAACCATTTGAGACCTTGAGAGCAAGGAAATTCGAAAATGTCCATATTAAGGACTACCTTAATATATATATATATATATATATATATATATATATATAAATATATATTATATATATATATATATATGACGATGAAACATACCTAGTTCCAAAACGTCGTAATTAAACAGGATTAATTGTTCGGAAAAGAAACCTTTATCAATATATACATATATTTATATTATATATGTGTGCATGTTAGGTATAGTTAAATTAGATATTTATGAATAAAATCATGCAAAGCATAACATTAAATTTAAAAACAATCTTCATTTTTCTTAAGTTTCGTTTCTATACATAATTATATGCAATTATTATTAATGGATACGAATATATTGGAGAATAAGATAAAAATTCATTATTTATAATAAACAAAAAGGTACACTAAAAATGCGCACTAGCAAGGCCTGAACTGCCAGTGAGTGTGAAATAATTAGTGATAGTAATTGTAATGTTTTTTAACTTTTATTTTTAAACAAAATATTTGACACATCGAGCAAAAAAACAGCTTCTCCAATTTGTTCATGACTAAATTACATATTGAAACTTATAAAAACTAGTGGTGTATGGCATCGTGCCTTAAGGCAAATTGCTGGAACTTCCCTGTAATAAAACATTGGAAAAATAATAATGTTTTAAAATAGATTTTCTTATTTTATATGTTTTAGAAAAGTAAAAATAATAAAACTTAATCAATCGGATTTAAAATGAATGACATTGTCTAATATTTCCAAGTTTTATATAAAGAGAATTGCAAAGTTAAAATTATTTATTCGAGCGTATATAAGTGAGCTTTAGAACTTCAGCTAGAATTAAAATTAAAATCCAAATTTATTTTGATATTTGAAAAAAATTATAAATTTTCTAATATTTTTTTTCTTTCCCCAAAAGCAATTGGTACGTCAACACAAGCAGTTTTTTTAATCATTCAAATCGGATTAATTATAGTAGATACACCACTGGGCGTATCTACTAACTTGTAAACAACCAATTGTAAACACTTCTCAGCATTCTCTGCTAAATATAATTATTTTTATAGATTGCAGAATGAAAATAAAATAAAAAAAAAATTCAAATCGGAATAATTCTATTAAAAACTGCCTTTTTTACACTCTTAGCTCCGTATCCGTGAAATAGCTGGACCTGCTTTGGCCAAAAACTAATCACCACTTCTCCGCATCATTACAAATTGAATGTATTTTGAATCATTTCCAGTTTCTGCACTCTTTGATTCGCAACTCGAAAACGGCTAAACCTACCTTTTGCAAAAACTAATCAGCACTAATTCCCATTAGTAGGAATTGATTGCTTTTTCAATCATTCAAATCGGTTGAGCGGTACTCCCAACAACGTCGACGATAAATTGTGCCACACATGCATACACACACACACATTCAAAATGTTCAGAAACTTCTGAAACGTGAAGGTATGCATAAATTTTTATTTTCGATTTTTGGCCCATTACTACAACTTACCTTATGTTTTTTCTTTCAAGATTGTACTCATATATGAATAGGTAAGCTAGGGGTTCGTAGTAACAGATGTTTTTTAAATTAATATATCTTGAGAACCACTGATAATATCCCTAAGAAATAAAGATGAATAGATGTTATAACTATTCTTATACCAAAACCAGTTAAAATAATTCAATAACTATTGTTTATTATTTCACAACTAATCAGTTTCTAAAAAAGTGCGGTGCTGCAACTTACCCAGTGTTTGGGGCTAGTTGTAATTTTTGCCAAGTCAACAAAAAAACAATAAATCAATAAATGACAATAAAATTTTTAATAAGTTATTCTTTGTTTATTCTTAAGAAAATTGACTCGTTTCTAAGTAATTCTTTTTAAGCATCAACGCAAAGTATGATTAATACAAATGAAATATATAATATACTCAGTTTTATCATAAATCAACAAAAACTACAATTAATATAATTATACAAATAAAAGATATATTGTCTTTTGTAACACAATTTACATGTGCTCACATCTCACAAACTATTCAATCTTCCTCACTCGAATCTTTATATAATAAAGAAATAAATAATCTATTAATCAAATTAGTGTATGTAAAAATATAAATATTTTTATATTATAGGAAATTGTCACGAGAGAAACGATAGAAACATTTCGTGGTAATGAGAAAACAGATCGAAAATTTACCAGGTTATTGAAGCCAAACTCACTAGCCAGATTGCCTTCAAATTTGTCCAATTCGCTCTCTGAAGGTAATAAGTAATAATATTAACACATATATCTTATTAAAATACATTATTGTCAAAATTTATATATTTTCCAAATCTATTTAAAAATATACGCATACATAGTCATTAAAATAAAGAACAGAGCATTCAACCTTCTTTTTTTGGGTAGAAAGACATTGGTTTTGCTCATCGTTCCTTTAATTTTTAATTTAATGTATCTTATTTCATCAGGTAGATTGTGTCCTTTATTGTTTCTTGAGAACATTAAATGACCCAATTTATAATCTTGTACTTCACTGTTGAATCATTAAATCAGTGATTGATTTTATTTCATCATGTTCAATTTTTTGCTCTTTAATGTTTTATGAGACTTTTAGGTGAGAATTTGTTTTGTCACTATTTTAATGGTCAATATTCTGGATTGTGTAAATTGTTATACATTCGATTGATTTTATTATTTTTTATTTTATGCATCAGGATGCATTTTTTATATTCTTGTACAGTTTCATAAGTTCCACCATGTAATTATATGAGTGCAAATAGTGTTGTATAGTTCAGATCTATTTTAATTGGTTAATCTTTATTTTTTTTAGTTCAATTTCATTATTTGACATGAAGATTCAATATTATAGCAAATTATGTATTACGAAATACTTTTACTTATAAAATTGTGTTAATTATATTTAGATTTTTATTTAGCGTTATACTGGCGCCGGCAAATTAAGAGTTCAAATAATAGTTATATTATTGAACAAAGGTTTCCATATAAGTGTAAATTATAATTGTTAATACAAATTAAGTACAAGGTTTACAGTATCAATAAAACTTGCGAACGAAGTGCTTTGAAAATGTATAATGGAACTTTGAAATATATAAAATATATGCTTTGATATTATAAATCATAAATACATAGAATGCGCTCGTGTAATGTATAATCGATTTGTAAAATCCTTGGCAATGAAAACTTTTTCCATAAAACTTAATTGGATTTAATATTGATGCTGAACATGCAGAAACTGTTAGTTTAAACGCTTTCTTTATTAGCTTAACCTTTAAGGTAGTACTTTTGCAGCCATTTGAATCGGTTTTAAAGCTTTTAGGCTAAAAATAATTGTTATTGAAAATATTATAATTGTTTATCGATGTATATTTATTCAAAATGCGCCCAGGATATTTTCAACGTATTTTTATCTTATAATGCATACTAGATATGGCATTTCATTTAATTGAAAAACTAATGGGGCGCATGGCATCGTGCCTTAAGGCAAATTGCTGGAACTTTCCGTAGAATTTTTTTTTAAAAAAAAAGATTAACATTTTTGAAAAAAATTACTCTGAAAAAAATTAGATTTTTGAGAAACTATACATTTTTGATAAAAATTTACTTTTTTTTTTGAAAAAAGACTTTTTAAAGAAAAATTTATTTTGAAATATTTATAAATTCTGAACTTTTTTCAAAGCAATCGTATTGCTTTTACTGCATAAAGACGAAATATCGAAGCGCCGCGTCGCCGTCTAACGGATAAACATTGGTACGTAACCCATAAAAATGTAAACAAAATTTATGCTTATTATTAAAATCTCTATAAAATGTCTAATAATTTGATGATCATTTTTGACCGCCAAATGACATTTTTTTTTACTTTTTTCATTAGATCTCCGAAACCGCTAGACCTGCCTTTATGAAAATCAGTTCTTCATCTTGTTAATATAAGTAAAATGTTTTTTGAATTTTGAAAATCGGACGCTCCGTTCTCTTAAAAACCGTGTTACAATTTTTGGCACCTTTTGCCCCGTACCTTTGGAACGGCTAGACCTGCCCCCGCCAAAAACTAATCAGCACGTCTCCTTATTAGTACGAATTGAATGTTTTTTGAATTATTTAAATTGGTTGATCGGTGTTCCCGAAATCGTCGACGAAAATTTGTATCCGCACACACACGCACACACACACGCACACACACACGCACACACATGCACACACACACATATAGACACACACACACATACATCCATTTTTTCTAAGGTGTGCCAAAATATTCAGAGACCTTTGAAACGTAAAGATATATAAAAATTTTCATTTTCGATTTTTTCGATCTACTATTGCACTTATTTTGTACTATATTTATATTACTAAAATTATCTTAAACAAACAATTCTGAGCTAATTTGGTTTATGACTCAATAGTATTTGTTAGTTCATTTTTTAATGTACCAGGCTGGGCTATATTGTTTTCTTAAATGGTTATTATGAACTAATTGGCAACGCAAAATATGTTGCAAGGTCAGTTTCTAATAATATTGTTATCAATAGGTATTTTTAGATATTTTTTATTATGTTCATTTAATTATATGACATGTAAATATTTGCAGTAAGAAAATAATTAAAGCAATTTTAATGTGAATGATTATTTACACACCTATTGTATTTTGAATAATTAATTTGCGTAACTAAATTACATTCATGATTTGATTTAACAAAGGAAAATGAATATTTTGTTTCGCAGATCAGTTTTGAGTATGCAATTAATATTTCATACCGTGTTATACTATTATTTTTAAACGGTATAAAGATCGATGGCTTCAATATGTTTTTTTTTGTTAATTAGTTTCATATGCACATGTGTCTTTGGCTTTTAAAAACTCTTTAATTTAATTGTTTATTATTATGACTTGCAGATCCGCCACTGGAAGAGGAAAACTTCGAACAAAATTTTCTACGTGCCATAAACAAATTAAGAAATAAGCATGGCTCGCCAAATTTGCATATTTCTGATCGACTGAGAAATGTAAGAAAATATACTGATTAATTAGCAAAACATCTTGTTATTGAAAACTTTAAATAATATTCAATATTTGATTTGACTTCATAACTTAAGTTTTACTGATATTAAAGCAGATTGTTCAATTTAATTTTTTTATTAAAATGTTTTATGTAGTAGTCGTGTATTTTTTTTGGCAGAGTTCGCAAATTTTAGCAGATTCCATAGCTGCTGGAAAATCTATCAATGATGCCTCTAAAGAAATGGAAGATCAGAACCTAGGCATAAATGTATACTGGTCAAGTGCTGGAACACCTATTACACCTACAAGAATATTAGCTCATTGGTATGGAGAAGGAAAAAATTATATCTCGAATAGAGCAGAAAGTTGTGATGACCAATTTCGATCTAGTAGTGAATTTGATCATTCGCAAAGTGAACATGAGATGCAAGAAGTTTCCAAAAAACTAAATGGCACAAAGTCACCCCATGAAAAAAATGTTTTGCATAATGGACACGGATCTAACCTTAAGCGGGATTTTGTTAATCGAACATTTAAAACAAATGGCACAGAAAAAAATGAAGCTTACGAATCTGATGCTAGTACATCTAATTGTACATCAAAATTGATAAATGCAAAACATACAGATTGCGCTAATTTCACTCAAATGTTATGGAAATCTAGCCTGCTAGTTGGAATAGCGTTATCTTGCAGCTCAAACAGCAGAACTGTGGCTGTGGCCCTATTTCAACCTAAAGGCAATTTGATGGGTCAATATTATGAAAACTTACCTAGAAGTGAAAGCTTAGAAAGTTTTGATAGTTATGATTCTACAGATTTCTGCAAATCTCACAATTACCAGAATAATGAAAATTTTCGCGAAGAATGCTTGAGAACTCATAATAAGCTTCGCGCTTTGCACGGGGCGCCTCCACTTCGATTGAGTAAACGACTCTGCAAGTAAGTATAGTGTTCTTAGTTGAATTTAAATTAATTTGCATATGATTCTAAATTGATTATGCGTATAACTAATTGCATGTAATTTATTTTCTTTCTTCGCATATTAATGGCGAAGTAAAATTTTATTGCCTAATAGCTATATGTGTAAAGTTAATCTTTTGAATTTATATATACAATTATTATATCATTAAAATTATTACCAATTTCTATCACAATTTAGAATTTTCATTCATCAACTCATATAAAATAGGTATAGTCAACAATGGGCCAATACGTTAGCAATTCGGGGACGATTGGAGCACAGACCGCATTCTGAATATGGGGAAAATTTATATTGTACTTGGGACCTTGATTCTACACCATCTAAAAATGTAAGCCGAGATTTATCAAATTATTCATGGAGTCATTCTGAAATAACATCTGAATTCTCTGGAGCATCAAGAAATAGTCTAAAAACGAAGCAAAGTTCTGCTATAGCGCAAAAGGCACGATCAGAGAGCAGATTATCAAATGGAACACCAACATCGCCTGCCGGAACAACATTTTTGACGACTTCTAGAGCAACTTCATCTTGTTCGGATAATTTGCCATCTTTATGTTCCGGCAAAGTATCTCCATGCGTCGGCTTCAAATCGGCATCTGTCAACGGAAAATATAAATTTTGTCCAAATATCAGCAAATCGCTGAAGAAATCGCCTCGCTCTATTCCAGAACGGCCAGTGACAGCGCCACCAAAAGCAGGCTTAGGATCTAAGATTGTCCGTAGATCATCTTGCGTTTTTCCCCAACGTTCGAACACCATTCCTAGGCCATCAGCATTTGAAAGGCGCCAGATAAGAACTGCTTCTTTATGTTCAGGAAGTGTTCCGGAGAGATTGCACACGCCACCGAACGGCCGAGAGGCAGTAGAACGATGGTACGCGGAAGTTGGGCAGCATGAATTTTATAAGGAACCGACTACGCTACGCACAGGCCATTTTACACAAGTTGTGTGGAATGATTCACGAGAATTAGGTAAGTATCAATATTAGGGTTTATACAAAAACCGACATTTCAGGAAACCGGTTTTCGAATTTTGATTTTACAAAAAAAAAAACGGTTTTAACCGGTTGTCGAATTTTATATAGAGAATAAATTTTTGCTCCAATATTCTGTAAATAAAAAAAAATTAAAAAATATTAGATACATGTGGATACATACTTGTTAATATCAATTTTAGTTTTAAAAACAATTCAACTAAATTCGGGTATTGTCTGTTCCGAGGAATTTTAATTAATTAATTTTAAAACATTATACATTAAACATTATAATTGTTTTTTGTTTAATAAAATATGATTTCAAAAAACTGAGAACGTCTATCGAATTGCTACTTAGACGTGTCCTTTGTTTACTCAGAAAATTTCCTGAAATAGAAAATACTCTCATACTTTCGACCAAATTATGCTTAATTATTTTTAAAGCCTGATATAATAATTCTAAGTTTTTTGTTCTTTTATTTGTGGCTTCTAGAATTCAAAACTTTTTTTTAAGTTTGAGTAGAGGAAGTTACTTCTTCAAGAAGAAGACACACTGATTTAAATTAATATGTACACTGGTATAAAAATCTAAATTAATATATACAAAACCTTTCTGGGAACCGTTGCAAACTGATAGTATATCAAATGCTATTGAACCGATATGATTTCAAGAATCAAATCATCTATGTTTTATATTTGGTTATATTTGTCATTTTCCATTTATACAGTGAAAACCGACTTTTTTCACTAAAAAACCGGTTTTCGAATTCCATAATTTTCGCCAAAAAACCGGTTTAAAACCGGTTTTTGAAAACCGACAAACCCTATTCAATATAAATAATATCATCCTAACTTTTAACAAATCTTTTCTTTTCCTAATTCAGGTGTAGGTATTGCTACAAATAAACAAGGACAAACTTTCATTGTGGCAAACTACCATCCACCGGGTAACTTCTTAGGCAGTTTCACGCATAATGTTCCGCCCATTGGAGGATTTAGAACAATGCTTTCTGATGAAGAAGAAGATAACATCTGCAATGGAAAAAGTAAGAACAATAATGAAAGCAGTGGTGAATCTGATGACATGAATAGAAAAATCCATAAAGATGGTTCCGCAAAATCTAGAAAAAAAATCATTGAAAGACATAAAATGCAAGAATACAATGACAAAAATATTGCACGAATAAATGGTATTATAAATAATAAATTACATGAAATTTATGAGTGGGATGAATTTGTTTTACAAGGCTTAAAAGTTCATAATGAATATAGAAAAAAACACGGTGTGCCAAATTTAGTTTTAAGTCAAGAGGTAAGACAGATTTCTAATATTTATTCAACAACAATTCATTAATTTGCTGGTTGTAACTTTTTTAGTTATGTGAATCAGCACGAGATTGGAGCCTGAAATTGTCCCGATTAAATAAATTTAAACATAAGCCTGGTTGTGAATTTGGAGAAAATATTTTTGTGGTATGGTCATCTGATGTCAGCGATCATGTCTCAGCCAGGGATGTTGTTCGATGCTGGTATGAAGAAGGGCGTGAATATGACTGGGATGCCAAGGTAAAACTGTAATGAGTATATTGAGTAACGTATTTCAGTACGGTATATTATAAGCATTTAAGAACTATAATATAATTAATCATTAATTATTTAGGAAAAAGCGCGAGGTGGAGCACAATTTACACAAATCATATGGAGAGCAACAAAAGAACTTGGAATGGCTGTTTCCAGTAACGGCAGAGGAAAAATATATGTCGTTGCAAACTATAGGTATGTATACAATTGATTATGAACTTTATAATTTAAAGTGACATGAATAATCAAAAATTATTTATTATGAACTTTAGTTCCATTTACATGAATTTTGAAAAAACATAAACGTTTCATATTTATTATTTGCGTCCTAAATAAATTTCACAATTTCTAAATTCATTATTATTTAGATATCAGATGATATATTTTTTTCAATAGAGAACTTATTTTATTTTTTTATCATAAATTATTTAATATTTGAACTTTTACCTATTTGATTTTCTAGGCCCCGCGGTAATGTCATCGGCCAGTTTTCAGAGAATGTCAACAAGCCTTTATGACTAAGATCTAAACTTGGTCTAAAAAGCAGGCCAAAGCATAACGGTATTGGATATGGTAAAAAGGAATAAATCATTACAGTTTATAAATAAATCATTACAGATATGGTAAAAAGGAAAAAACATTACAGTTTTAACCCATTTTAAAAAGAATTGTATCAATCATATTAAAGTTTTCATCAATTATAATTATAACATATAAATGTAGTTGCCAAAGTTTGCGCATTATAATAATAGACTGCTAATTACGCTAAATATTAATAAAAAAAATGTAGATGCTAATTTTCATAAATCTCATGGAGGGCATTTTATTTAATTATGAAAACTTAGGTAATTATAGGAACTATATATTTAATCGATTTTTAACTATTTATACTAATGCCATTAATTATAGAATAATACTAGGCCAAATAATGAAATATTATATTTTTAATTTTATTCATTCGTTTAGTTTTCAACGAATTGTTTATTTTTAATTGTGTTTAAAGTATATTTTTATATGTTTTAAAGTTTATCATTCCTACAAATACTAGATGAAACTAAAGTATGGTTTCGACTTATATATATTTATAATTATACCATATTATAATATGGTCTTTCAAGTTTAATAAGTTCGAGGTAATCATTTTAATTTCTACGTATTTTAATCATACTTAAGTATCAGGAGGGATATATTTAGAAAAAATAATCAGACATTGACTGTCTACTTGCAATGCATCAGTTTGTATGCTTATGCCTTGCTTAAAAAATATTATTTTTAACTATTTAAAGTTCTTGCAAAATATTTTGAAATGCTTTCAACTTAATTTTTCACAATAAGTATGAAATTGAATTGTATCAAATAATTCATTGCTGTTATTATTAAATGGGTCTGTTTACATTCAAAAATAAAACAGTGTTATTTAATAACAATAATTGTATAGGATCAATGTATGTGAAAATTAAATATGTACTCTGTTAATTTATGAACTAAATTATTTTACTAATATTAGTTACAAGTAAAATTATTAATTTTTAAAAAGTATTTATTTGCTGTTAATAATTTATACCAGTTTTTGTTATAATTTTAAATTAATAACGAAAGTATGTTACCTATTGAAGACGCATACTGTTTTAGAATTGTTATGTATTTATATTAATTTCACCTTTACTTAATATTAATGGTAGCTTTATTATGATGTTATTTTTTTACTATACTATAATGTAATGACTAATTACGCAATAAATATCTAATATATTAAAAAAAAGGAATTGATTTTAAACTCTGTTTTATTCAGCAATCAGAAATACATACGGATTCCTGTAAGCTAAATTGACAATATTTGAGAGCGATATCTAAGAAAATCTCCAGTGAGATCTTTTTAGTCAAACAATTGATACGGTAATGTTCATATTGAAGCTAATTTTCAAATTTGATCTCATTAGATTCAGAACGGCTTGAAATTTTCTTACCGGAAGTTAATAAGCTAAAATAATTTCATAAAGCAATTTTAACTGAAAAAATTTCTATTTTCAGGCAAATTTATACACATTGAAAAATATACTTTATATAGCAATACTTTTTTATTTTGATGAATACAAATATTTTCGCAAAGATTAAACTTTCTGCTTGAATTTCGCGCTTTAAATTTTACAAGATTGATACAGCGGTCATTTTGCTAACTTCAATCAGTTAGTTCAAATGTCAAGAGATTTTTGTGAATTGACATGCTCTCGCGTTAATTAAGAGTTTTTAATTAAATCCTTGATTGGATTTCCTTAATTTGTACATCAAATTGTTTAATTAATTCAGTAGATCAATCTGATATAAAACAATCATCGCGAAATGTTCATAAAAAGTCAAAAAAATGGATATGTGTGAAGTGCTTGGTGTACATTGAATAGTTTATAAGTATCTTTTTCAGGGCTCCCATTTTGAAGCAATATTATAATTAAACATTTTATTTACAGTGCTAATGTATCCTTTATCTATATATATATGCAATTATCAATAGTATAATTTATATATGTGCTCTTGTAGGTTATACTTATTCACTTCCACCACATATCTGTTA